AGTGATCTGATGATGGTAATGGCAATAACGTTTTAAACGGGTCCTTCAACAAATATCAACCACAACACTATATTTCCAACAACAGCAACAACAAAACAGAACAAAAACAAAAAATTTGTTTATTTGTTTCTTTTTCGTCGACCAACAAAACTCTGTTGATCTCCTTTATTTATCCTTTAATATTAAGCTGACTAAACTGACTGTACTGATTGACTGATATTGACTTGATACTGTTTGATAATGGTTTGTACATTTTTTTCAGCAACAGCTAATCATTTACCTTATAGTGTCTTTTTTCCAGTTTTAGTTTGTTGTTTGCTTATTTAATTCAATTAATCCACTATTTTCCTGCTTCCCTATTTTTATTTATTTATTTTTTTATTTTTTTTTGACAATTAGTAACAGAGCTTCAGGTAACAAAATTTGTCGCTTAATTATTTTGACAAACAAATAAATCTCTAAAGATTTCTTTAAAATTTGGATAACTGTTAAAACCAAAGTCTTCTTTGCCCTTTTTTGTTGTTGTTTTAAATTCGTTCACGTTGGACGATTAAAATTTTGTTTTGTTTTTGACAGTTTTTTTTTTGTCTTGTTTTTAAATTTCAGTTGTTTTTAGTTAGCAGTAAGCTGTGTTGGATTTGTATTTTTTAGTTCGATAAACCTACCACTTTTTTTCACAGTTTTGTTCTTATCAACTGATAGAATTTATTTTTCTTTATACCATAATGTCGTCCTCGTCATCTCACTGTAAGACTGTCAAAATTGGTCTACCAAAACACAATTATTTTTGACTTCATTAGACAGAAACAGATACTGGCTTCTTCGTTTTAATTTGCTTAACTGTACTGTTCAACCGGTTTCATTCTTTGCTAATAAAAAAAATAATAAAAGTAAAATCAATCTCACAGAAAAAAAAAAAAAAACTTGCAAAAAACTTTAAGAACAAACTTTTTAAGATTATTATGGTTTTTTTTTCAGTTTTTTGCATAATTTATGTTTTGTAATGGTATTTTTGTTGCTTTTATTTTTTTTTTCCTTTTTTTGCTGTGTTGTTCGTTTTTTTTTTTTTGTTTCTAATAGTTTTTTTATTACTGCTAGTATTACTTCTGCTATGATTTCTTTTCATTATTTAAAATACTTTTGTTCATGTAGTTTTTTTAACAGATTGTCTAGTTTAATGTATATCCAATGATTGATGACAAACGTTATGGAGAGGAGTGTCAAAATTTTTAGGATCCGCCGCTACGACTTGTTTGTGGCGAGCATCGTGATATTGAAGAAGAAATAGCTAACCGAATTTTGTCGGATATTTCCGAAGAAACGTCGTTAGCCGGATCTCTACTGTCAATTGATGACTTCGATGCCATGAATAAAAATCCAAAAGATGTTAGCCAATGTTTATACGTTTTGGTCTACGTTAATCTAAAACAATCTTTTTTTTTTGCATTATTTGAGCAATGAAGTATTTTTAGCATTAACTGTTACTTATTCAAATACTAAAAAAAAATCGAATTTTTTCTCAACTAACTATTAATGCAACAGGTTCTGCAACCTGACGATAAAGGTCGTAGCAGATCAACAACACCGAATGATGTCTCTCGTGGTACAACGCCTATTGGTTCACCGACGTTGACTATCGACAGCGTTGATGTCTTGCAGCTTCCACTATTGCCGTCAGATAACCAGGTTACAAAGTTTAATCTATAAAGCGACATGTTGATAGTTTTCTGAATGACCTGAAGGGTTAAGACTTTAAACAGATAAAAATTGACTAGTTAGTATAGAAACTAGACA